CACTGAGAATCCATCTCTCTTCTCCTTGTTTTCTGCGTTATGAGTCCCGTGTTACTTGGAGATTTAATGAGCACAGCATGGAGCAGAGAAATGGGCCAGAGGCCTCAGAGTTGAGCTGGCTTGGGGATCCTTCCTACCTCTGTCCCACTTTGCTGTGATACTCCCTAGGCTCAGGTAAGGAAGCGGCCCCGTCAGAGCCAGAGTTTCCTGTCAGCGATTCACTGCTTCATTAATCCGCTCAGTATTTATCGAGGTTCTGGAAAGTACCAACGTTGTTTTAGGCACTAAGGATAGAGTGATAAATCAGAAGTCCTTCTCCTCATAGGTGCACGCTTTAGTGGAGGGAGTGAAGGGCAGACATAAGCAGAGCTAAAGGAAGAAAGGTTACAGGGGGAAAAAGTGAGGTGGAGAGGGTTATGTTTTCACAGTGGTTTCAGGAGGCCTGTGTGAGGGGCCATTGAGCGCCTGCTAGAAGCAAGTGAGGAACTCAGCCAGTGATTATCTGGAGAAAGAGAAGAGTGAAGATAAAAGCCCTGCCCTGGTCAGAACAGGTCCCTGTTACCTGCTTTAGCTGCCTTCTACCAACCAAACCTCATTCACAGACCAGTTATCTCTGCCATAAGGCAGCCAGGTCTTTGGACTTTAGCAACAGACCCTTGTGGGGTTCTGTCCTTAAACGTGCTGAGCCACATATATCTCAGGTGCAGTAGACAATCAGGTACACATTTATTGGTGTGCATGAGTGATTCAAACTGTGGTCCCCTTGAAGGACACTTCTTTTGGTACTCAACTCTTTGTTCTAATGAAAACAAAGGAAAGTTGAGGGGGAAAAGCCTATGACATACATTTATACATATATATTTGTACTTGAAAGTACTTTGGAACATGAATTCAAACACATGCATTCTGGTCCCTGCCTTCCCCAAGATCAGATAAATCCAAATGAACTTTGGCAAAGCTCCACAACAGAGTATTTTTTTCTTCTGTATATTGTAAGAAGTCACTATACTAACCCCTTTGGCACTGTGCACTGTGTAAGGGGTTGGGTACAGGACTTTGAAAATTATGCTATAATGAGAAAAGCTATGGAAAAGGTGAGTACGATGTCACCGATGCTCTCAGTCTTAATTCTTGGGCAGAGGACAATTTCTAGGAACTTCATCATAGACTTAGAAGTTCCTGCCCCATGGCTATGGTGGCAGAAGAAAGTTTGAAGCACACACATTTTTATTTGGAAAATAATCCCAGAAACCATGAGTAGGGAGACACAAACTGGAGACACTAGGAAAAAGGACACCTCAACTGAGGAATTGCCTCCATCAGATGGCCTGTGGGCATGTATGTTGGGCATGTTCCTGAATGGAGGCTGATGTGGCAGGGCCCATCTCACTGCGCGCATGTGGTAGTGGGTTGTGTAAGCAAGCAAATGAAGGAAGGCCCAGAAAGGAAACCAATGAGCCCTATTCCTCCATGGTCTCTGCTTCAGTTCCTGCCTCCAGGCTCCTGCCTTGAGTACCTGCCCTGACTTCCTACAGTGAAGGACTGTAAACTGTAAGCTGAAATAAACTCTTTTCCTCTCCAAATTGCTACTGATCATGGTGTTTGCCACCGTAATAGAAAGCAAACTAGAACAGGTGAGTTTACTTGGGCTGATTGTTGTAAATGTTTGCTAAAATTGGGCAGCCCCATTGGCTTGGCTAATGGTGAGGGAAGCAGACACAACATACCATGGAGGTCTGTCTGTCCAAGGAGGTGTTCATGTCTACAACTGAGAATCATGGGGCTAGGTTAAGCGGGCATGATCCCAATAATATAACCCTCCCTTTGGGCTTCACACCTTAAAGGTGCACAGCACCTCCCAATAGCTCCACCCTGAGAACCAAGCTTTTACTCAGGGACCTTAAGGGGCTCTCATCCACACTACAGCAAAAGGTGCTATTAGGTCTCAACTAGCTAACTGGGGTGCCTATTAACATATCAAAGCAGGTACTTGCCACCATATTCTCCCAGCATTCCTCAGTCCCTACCTGATACTGGGGTCCTTCTGGCTGGCATGCCCATTCCCTAACCTAAACTTCTCCATCCCTGGGGGCTGGGCTAAACAGCCCCTTCCTCCAGCTTCTCTGATTCCTATATAACTCAACCATTTTGGCTATGCATCCCCTTTGGCCCCTTGGCCACTGCTCTTGACCATCTGGCTCTCTCCCTTCTCCCCTCACATTTCACTAAAGTGGGAAGGGCAAGAGCATATGAGTAGGACACTGACAACACCTACTACGGTCCCTAAAACAAGGGACCAGTCGTGTTCCATGCCTGCCTTTCAGGCAACAGGACCTGAGCTTTGGCCTCTGATGCACACCAGAGAAGTCTACCCTTCGGCAGCAGGTGGCAGCTTTGCTCTCTAACCTAAGGTCTGTATGTGTGTGCTCAGGCCCCACACTGATGTAGCCAAGATGAGAACTGAGAAGGCCAGTTGAGGGTTTAGAAAGAGCTTGGGACCCCAGAGAATTGGTTTCCAGGGAAGGCACCATGTGCTCAGTCCCTCAAATGAGCTTGGCAGATGGGAACGTCTCTGTGTGATGCCCCTGCAGAGGATGCCACTTTCTGACTGACAAGAGAATGGCTGGCACTATTACCATGGCAACCAATAAAAACCCACCCAAAGACCCTTCTATGGACAGAAAAGATGGAGCACAAACCAAAACCCAGGAACTCCACTCCACAGAAGGCAACTGGAGCCAAAGGCAGGTGGTTTTTCTTACTCTTGACATTGAAAATATGATCCATAGCCTATGCATGCACTCACAGAAATTCTTGGGTGACACACACACACACACACACACACACACACACACACACACACACCACCCGAAGCTGGTTGGGCCTGGGAAAACAACTGTCACAATGTTGTGCCGACTTGCTGGGTAAGCAGGAACAAGTGGGTGTCTCTGTTTTCCCCTGCATGTAATGATTCAGATGGTACCAGTTCCATGGCCTCCACTGTGGGAGGAGGCAAGAGCTGATGCAAGAACGTCTGGGAGGCATTTAGAGCATCTTGCAAGAAGTGGTTGAAAATTCCTGTTACGAAATCCGAAAGCCCTCCTTTCCTTCTCACTTGAAACCTTTGGTCTTTCCAATCAGCAGCTCTTCGGAGACCACAAAGCATCCACAGCCACTGACCACAAAGTGAAGGTAAAAATAAAATGGGAATTCAAAAGATTTCCCAACTTGTGGCCAGATTCCAGTTTGGACCTTAAAAGCTTCCTCTCTGGTCAGCTTCCTGTGCTGAACCCCACCCCCAGCAAAGCTCACTTAGCTCTGAGAGCCTGTGTATTCCTTGCCATTAGGGATTGAAAACAGGAAATGAAGGGGCCTGTAGGGGGATGGGAAAGCTTAAAACAACTTCAGAGAACAAGCTGATGAAGTCATAGATCGTATCACCCTGCCTTTTCCATGTCGGGTTTCTTTAAAGATAAGGTAGTGACTCAAAATGTGCTGCCTTTTTTCCCCCAAGATGGAGCAGGGGAGGATTTCTTTAATATCCTCTTCCCTCCCAGTGTTTCCAAAGATAACCAGATGAGAGAAGCGACTCGATCCACGTGCATGTAAAATGCGATTACAGGACAATTTCCTCATCGTGGTCCCCGAGGGCTGAGGGAGGAGGGGGAAAAGCGGAGGAGGGTGGAGGCCAGAGATGGAGAGGAGGCCAGTAGCCACTAGGTCTTGCATTGTTGATGAGAATATCTTGTTAAGGCCCTGCTCATGCTAGAGGGGATGTTGTGGCCAATGGTTGGTAAATAACTAAATGGGACCCAGTGTGTAACTAAATGGGATGTTGTAGCCTACATCAAGTGGGTGTCTGAATGATGGGGCCTGACAGAAGCAGGAAGAAAGGGAGAGATGCTGCATGTCCAGATCCTGCCTGTGAGATGCCAGACAAAGCTATTGAGAACACTAACACGTGGACATATTCCACCATTGCGGGTGCCCAGGCTGTGCTGGGCCAGGCAGCACTGTGTGATGAAGAGTAGCTTGGCAAGAGTCCAGGGGACCAATGTGAGGTGAGGTGGGTCCCAGCCAAACACTCCACTAGGGCAAATGCAATAAACCTTGATGCAGACACAGAAGGGAGCAGATGAATAGAGGGGAGAGCTCCATGAGAGCAAAGATCTAGGAACACAGGCTAGGGGACCCACAGACCTCAATTCCAATCTGATTCTGCCACAGACCTGTTCCCTAAGCCTCAATTTTCCTTCCCACAGAAGTGGCCATTGCATAGAGGATTGATATGGGGCTATAGGGCGGGGGATGGGGGACCCTGAAGTTTGCTTTTTCAAAAGTGCTTGAGGCTGTGAGCTGTGGAAGGGTGCCATAAGGAGGTATTTATGAAGTGCCAGCAAAATGGTACTGGGGGAGGGGGGCTGCCAAGTTAAAGGAAATACACAAAAGTAGAGCTAAGCTTATTTATGAAACAGCGTCTCTGGCCTTTTGGTGAACCCAAAGAACAGTTTCCATCTGGCAAGGCAACACTGTGGTGAGCAAGAAATTGGGGGCTGGTGAACTCTTTAGGGCAGCTCACTTGGAAAGGGGCCCCTTGCCTCTCATGAGAAGTAGACACCTGGCCTTGGCCCTGCCCCACCCTGCCAAGGGTGATGGATGTGGGTCAGAACCTACAGAGGCCAGGTTTCTTCTCTCTCAGGGCAGCGGGGGATAAGGAAACTTGCAGGAAATTAAGTAAAGAGAAGAGATCTGTGGGTGTGGGGTGAGGCAGGGGAGGGGGAGGGAGACTGGGATTGGAAGGAGGAGGGGTTGCACAACCTGCATGCTGTCTAGAGTCCAAGAGCGAGGATGTGAGAAGAAACAGATTGGACAAGAGCAAAGAAAGGTGACAGGCTGGGTAGTGGAGAAGAGAACTGTGGACAACTGTCCCAGGCCTGTTTCCATTTCCAGCCTAAAAGAATAGGGGGGCTATTGCCTTTGAAGTTTTTGATTCTGCTAAAGAGTCTATCTCCTTGTTTCAAAAGAATGAGCCAGAAGCAATGAACTTTAATCATAGATGATGCCATCAGTAAACGCACTTGCAGTCCTCTTGCCATCCCCAACCCTGTGTCCTCTGTTTTTCCTTAAGGAACCAGTTGGAAAGACATGCCTTTCTAACACCCTTCCCTCTTTAGTGCCACATGCCATGCGGCTATCTCCCCAACTCCCAGGGCTCCCATACCTTCCAAAAGGTGGTTTCGGGTGAGTCATGTTAATGGGTCTTCTCAGAGTATCTTGGAGCAGCCCAGGATTTCCACTAGGCTCCGGGAGCCAGGCTTTTCTGAGTGGAGACGGGTGGGACTGTGATGCTTTAAATCCAGCTCATTGTCCATGATCAAGAGGGGCCCTCAGCTTCAGCCTCATGGTCATCAATCCCTAGGCTTCGCTGTCCATGAAAGGAGCTGAGATCCACAATGACAATCCCTGAAGAAGGGACCCAGACTCTTGATTTCCTCAAAGTACTTCCAGATTAATTTTAACAGGCAAGGTTGAGCCTTACCATTGTAAGGACTTAGGTGACTAAGCAGTCTACATCTCCTCTCCTGTACTATTCAGTTCCTCCGAGTAAACACTATTGTAGACATGCTCATGAACACATAGACATTCATCATTCACACAGAGAGCTGCAGTTCAGATATGAGCACTCTGAAAAAGGTTTATGTATTGTGTGTGTGGGGTTCTTGCTTCACAGCTGGAGGTGCTGTTATGAACGTTCTGGAAGCTTTAAGAGCTATAGACTAGCAGGTGGAAGTGAACTACTGGAGACCTGTCCTTAGGGACTATATCTTATGTCACCCTCACTCTGGCAGCCATGAAATGAGTATTTATACCCCTCCATATCTGGCCAACATTCTGGTCTGCTTCATCACCCCCAGAAGCAATGGAGCCAGGCAAGCATGGACTGAACCCTCTGAAACTGTGACCCAAATTAATTCTTCCCTTTAAGCTTTCTCCCAACTATTTGTCATGGAGAGGAGAAACTAACACCCAAGCCTTTCCTGCTCCCTTCCAGCAGAAACACACAGAAAGTGAGAGAAGGCTTTCCTGGGGAAGACTGAGTTACAGTTGACTAGGCTGGGGGTGGGGTAGGGGTGGGCACATAGAGAAAAAGGAATGCCAGAGATTGTAATTCTTTATTGCCTTTCCTCCACACCCACATATCAGGTCATGTAAACCATTTCCTGTGGACATTTGTGCTGGTCTGCCTTCTGTGGGTCAAAAGGACCCCTGACCTTCACATGGGGAGCAATGCGCCCCCACAGCCAGGCTCTAGGTTAAACAGTCCTATGCCAGAGTCTGGGCTGCATCCACATTGGTTTAAGCCACTTAGAGCCTCCTCCCACCTCTCTCATTGGCCATGTTGGAGTTCCCAGCATTCTGGCACAACACTATAACTCCTGGGAGGGGAACAACAAGGAGGATAGAACACTCACCTTGCTTCTTCTGGAGCTGCTTAAAGATTTCTTCTTCTGCTGATGGACGAAGGAAGAAATCTAGGCCACCTACTACTACCAGGAGAGATGTAACTGTTAGTGGTCCAGCACTGTGAGGTTCACTGCCTCTGAAATGGATTTTTACTGCCCTGATTTTCAAAGAGGGGCTTCTGAGTGGAGAAAGGGAATGGTTGGGAAGCCTTTCAGAAGGGATGTTTGTATTAGAAGCACAATGTATACTGGGGAATATAATGGAATTTCAGGGCCAAAACTTCCTCTTAGGTTCTGGCTAGGAAGCTAATGCCAGTCCTTTCCCTGAGTGCCTATCATAAGCATTTGTTGAATGAATGAATGAATGCTAGAAGAGAGAGCTGAAAGCAGCTTAAAGCAAAGCCAGTGAGTGGGTCACCATGTAACAATCTATGAGTAACCACAGGAAGTAGAAGCAAGTCATTGGCTATAGGGAGAGAGGTATCTGAGCTGAGAGGAGCTAACTGTGCCTCAATGGATGAGTGGGTAGAGTATACCCATGACTCAACAAGGAACATGGAATGGGCCCAGGATAAGTTCATACAAGGCAAACTTCAAAGCAGAGTTCCATAAATTTTTCTGAAGGGACCAGAGCAAATGATTCCTCTTGATACTGTTTCTGGGGGCCTTTTCTGTTTCCCATCATCTTTGTTCCTTGACATTTTCATATATGTATAGATTACAGCACTTTGTTACTCATACCCCAGCACAATGGGGGGAAATATAGTATTTGACAACTAGTCTGAAGACAACTATGTATTTGTAAATGTTCTACTTACTCTGATTGCAATCCTCCATCTTGCAGCATCATACCTAGCCCCTGATACCTCCCTTTCCTGTCTGCCTTTATCCCATAATAAGTCAGAGCAGCATCTGAGATCACTTGGTCAAGGAGCCTGCAAATCCAACGAATTCTCTTCTAGTCATGGTCTTGTTCCCATTACTCGACCAACAGTTCTCAAATGCTCTAAGAAATGTGTTCCGGAATACTCATTGCGGCTTACTGTGGAGCAGCCAAAGCAGAAGTAACCTATGTCCATTGAGAACAAAGTAGAGAGAAGAACCAGGGTTATATACATAAACAAGGCACAGAAAAGGAAAAACAGTATGGGTCTATCTCACACACATCCTGCCGAGTAAAAGAAGACAGATATCAAAGAGTCCACAGGCATCTATTGATGCACATGTTTCAGAAGTAGACAAAGGGGAAATGTGGTGTTAGGAAAGAATGTGCAGAGTGCAAGGAAGGGCTGGGAGTAGAAGGCATGAGGGAGGCTTTGGGGCTTTAGAGATAGGTCTTCACCTGAGTGCTGCTTGCTCAGTAGTAGTTCTCTGAGCCAACCATTTATGGACTGTGTGTGTGTGTGTGTGTGTGTGTGTGTGTGTGTGTGTG